CACAGGAAAACTTGCCACAGAAAATTCCACGCGGGATAACTCAATGCAATAACTGTTATCTGCTCTTGTTTCTTTGACAGCATTTCCATTGACAAAAATGGAAACTATCTCAAACAAACAGGGGCAGATGACAATTATCGCACTGAATTATCCCACATGGAATTTTCTGTGGCAAGTTGCCCTGCGGGGAGTTGGCAGCATCAAGAGGGCCACGTTGAGTCGGCTGTGGCGAAATGGCTGTGATGAGACGGCTAGACAAATTGTCCCATTCTGGAATAGCTACATAAATCCCACTGAGCCATCAATTTTGACCTGGAGAGTATAAAACAGTGGCTGAACAGGGAGTGTGAAAGCATCCCTGTTACTGCGATTCCTTCCAGAAAGCATGTGACTTTCTGACTTCTTTCCTCTTGCAAGCTGGTTTTGGCAGTGACATTGTTGGCTAACTTCAGAGTTTATGTACAATATGAAACTGGGAAGTTGCTGATTTCCAGATAATGAACTAAAAGAGCCTTTTTGACATCCTGTTGAGCCTCTTCCAATTCTTGCTTAATGTTTTTGCAGGAAAGAAAGAGAGAGAGAGAGAGAGGGAGGGAGGGAGGGAGGGAGAGAGAGAGAGAGAGAGAGAGAGAGAGAGAGAGAAGGAAAGAAAGAAAGAAGGAAGGAAGGAAGGAAGGAAGGAAGGAAGGAAGGAAGGAAGGAAGGAAGGAAGGAAAGAAAGAAAGGAGGTGCCTAGAACTGCACACCAAATGCTAGAGGTGGTCATGTCAGTAATTTATATAATGGCATTATAATATTGGCATATCTCTTTTCAAAACTGCTCTATATTATCCCGCACCGAGTGTTGGCTTATGTCTTCTGTGTCAAACACCTATCTTAAACAATTTATTATTGAAAGAAGAGGTAGTGGCAGATGACAGTCCTCGTACTTATGACCATTGCAACATCATCCCATGGTCCCGTGATCCAAATTCAGCAGCTAGGCAGCCAGAACATTACCTACGATGGTTGTAGCATCCCGGGGCAGGTGATTCCCATGTGAATGTCAGCGTTCCAAGTAAAAACCTCCAAATTAAAAGACTCCGAGACTCTCATCTTCTCAAAGATCCATTTTATTAGAGATGTCATATCGGCACATAAAAAACCCGAATCTGAGATTTCCAGGTTTTCCTCAGCCCAAAGAGAATCCAAAATCCAAACCCTGCACTCCCATAGTCCATCACATGGTCCAATCATTACTTCATCCCAACTGGAGACTATCCCCAATCACTCCCCTCCAGGTGCAGTGTAACCTGTCCTTGACTCTCTGAGAAAGGAATGTTGTTGTGGCTAATTTTCCACCGCTCCTTGAAGTCCCCCCTCCCAAATTCCCAGGCACTGAATGTGGCAGCCCGGAAGCCTCAAAGAAAAATGGCTCCCAAGCTGACAGTGTGACTTTCCCAGCCAACGTCTGACAAGCAGTGTCAATGGGGGGGTGGGTGGGAGCCAGATCTGCTTAATGACAAGATAATTCACTTTACAACTGGAGCGATTCTCTTAACAGCCGTGATCCAAAAAGTTGCAAAATCAGGTGTGTCTCCACTAACAATCACCCTGTTTAACAACAGAAATTCTGTCCCAATAAAGATTATAAATTGAGATTACCATGTACAGGTAATTTTGGTTTCCAGCTCTGTTTAGCAACCCATTTGAAACGATGAAACATTGAAAAACTAATTTTACATCCGGAGGAGTTCAACTTGGCACAGCGGGGTGGGGTGGGGGTGGTTCTAAATAGGATCTCAGAAGTCAAGAAACGGGTGAGACTGAGAAATCATAACAAGATTCTTTTATTTTATTTTTTAAATACAACTTATTTTATAAAATACATATAAAATCCAAAGTATAAAAATATAAAAATGTATGCCATTGAAGCATCCGTAATTTTTCACACAGTCACAAAAAACATTGTGAGAGTTAGCACCAAACAGATCATTGCTTGGCGCCTCTTTCAGTCAAAACTGAAAATCCTGTTGCCTTGGCCCAAATAAATATATTATTAATTATTATTATTATTATTATTATTAATTATTATTAATATTATCATCATCATCATCATCAAGAACAACAAACAACAGTCTAAGAATATTCTAGTGCGGGAGCTCCCTAAAAGATAAGCCCCAAATTTTGGACAGGACATAAAATACATTCCATTCAAATTCTAAGGCACAATCATGATGCTTTAAGTTTAGGACGTTGGTTGGAGATCTCTGCCCATTCTCCTTGTGCTAGCTAGAGGTTGAATCTGACCTGGGTTCCTTCCTATAGATTTTCCTCCTCTCCCTGTCCTATCTCCAAAACTCCAAAGATGGGATATTTGGGGTGGGGTTCCTCCATTTTTACAGCTGGCTCTTTTCAAGGAAGCTCTGGTCTTGTCAACCATTGGAAGCAGCCACCTCAAAGGCTGAGAAAGAGAGAAGGTTGAAGAAGCTGAAGAATGGGACAGGGAAACCTCCTAGCAAATTAACTCCAGTTGGAGAGAAGGAGTTGGGCCAGCAATGGGAGATAAACATTTTTTTTTAAAAAAAAAAAATTGAAGTCTTCAAAGGACCACTTACGATGCAGAACCTGGATGGCTCAACCCAACCAAGGTGCCACCTTTGAAAGACCTATGCAAATATTTATCTGTTTATATTTATTTTTTAAAAGTAGTCTCTTATCATTTGTCAGGGATATATCCTGAGAAGGTCCCAGGAGAGAACGCTTCAAGCAAACTAAATTCTCAGTAGCGAGAGACTGCAGGTAGCTGTGTCGCCACTACCTGATCAACCATGTCAGTTACGAATCCAGGGGCTGCATTCATAGAAGATGCTAAGCACAGTTGGTTTTTAAATCTTGGCTATTTTGGGCTTTCTCTGGTGGCCCACCATGCAGTGGGATTTCAGTTTCAGTCTCAAGTCTTGTGCAAATCTAGAAAAATAGGATGAATTTGGTCATGAAGGCCAAACATGGTTTGTGAATACATCCAATCTGTAGATTAGAAGATGCTTAAATACATACCCAACCAGTTTGCTGGCCTGCATAAAGGTGAATTGCATGGATTCAATGCATTCATTTTGTTCAGCATCCATCAGTTTGCTCGAAAAGAATACAATTTTCCATTACAGTTTTGTTCTGTGTACATTTTTCTAAGTTTTCCTTTTGAGTTGGGGCTGGGATGAGAATTAGGGTTAGCTAGGATTATTCTATTCCTCAAAAGTTGGAATTATTGCACCTTTTTTCTCCATCTCTTTCTCTCTCTCCCTCCCTATCAATTTTAGTGCACATTTATGCATAGTTTAAAACAAAATTCTTTACATAAAAATTTTCAGAAAAAAAGCAAGTGGCAAAATACTGAAAGACAAAACCCTCTTCAAACTGGAGAGAAGTCTCGGAATATTGCTTTAAAAAAAAAAGAGCGATAATAAATAATAGTAGAACATTCAAAACATTTTCAATCGTTTCCACAACAGTCCTGTGAGGTAGATTGGCACTGTTATTGATCGTACAAGATTGTGTGGTTGGGAAAGAGAGATCAAAGAAGGCACTTAGTGAATTGGAAACTAAGGCGGTTTGTACCAGGATGTGCCTCATTCATCTCGGCTCCTGGACCAGATATGTAATATTATATTATTATGCTATACGTAATATAATTTCCAAATATGCTGGACTCAGGTATCATGGCCGAGTGTCTCTGGAGATTCTCAGTCACCCAGGTCATGGTTGTCTCAAAAGTTCTTTTTCAAGAGGCCACTTGGACTTTTTGTTTTTCCTTGAAGATGTTTCGCTTCTCAGCAAAGTTTACGTTCTGGACTGCTGGTTTGAAAGAAAAGTCAAAAAGGCCATCAACATTAAACAGCCTTCTCGCAAAAGAGGGGAAAGGATATCACACCGCCTCTCTCCTGTCCAGCAGTCCCAAGAAGGCTCCACACCCCTTTGCACTACTCAGGTGACCCTGAGGGCACAGGTAAGCCTCCAAGTGGCCTCAACAGCTCTCAGAAAGAGTACTAACGACCAGATGACCAATATAAGTCCTTCCATTCTCCCACCATTCAATCAGAACTGAAGGAGCTTCTTGGAGAAGAAGTAAAACGTCTTCAAAGAAAAACGAAGCCCAGTGGCCTCTTGAAAAAGCCCCTTTGGAAAGAAGCTGAGGGTTACAAACTTTACAGTTTGAGGGCAAGGTCATATGAAAAGGGGACGGGGCTCCAAACGGATGTTGGTGATCATCATTTTGGACCCTTGTGGGCATGCTCATTCAGACAGCCCCAGAAGGATTTTGAACCCCAAATAGTTCAAAAAATTTCTTCTCACCTAACACTGAAAAAAATAATCTTTTTAAAGGGATGGATTCTGGCAGCCGAAATACTAGTTTTTCATACTAGCCAGCAGTAAACTATATATGTGGTTGTGTGTTTATACACACACACACACACACACTCACACACACACCAATATCTCCAATACAGCACAATAAAATAATAACATTAGATATTATCACAAAAATACATCCAATAAACTTATTATTAAACTATTATTAAATTAAACTAGACATCGACTAAAAAAGGAATAGTCAAATTTCAAAAAATGCCTGAGGCTTTCAGAAGGTTTTTAGCCCTGCAAAAAAGAGCTACTATATTTGTTAAGGTGCTGGACTCTCTGGCTCTTTTAAAAAGAATTAAAAAAAATAGGAAAGCAGACAGAGAGGTTGAATTTTTGTGTGTAACACACAGCCCTGAGATGCAAATAAATAATCTGGTATTTCCACCTTCATACTGGTTGGAAAATTATTTCAAGGCAAGATAGTGGCCTAAAGATTGAAATTACAGAAGAAGCTCTCTGCATCCAGCAAGATTTCTTCTTCTCTGTATAAAAAGAGAAGATGGGAAGGGAGATCCAGAAGAAAGAGGACGAGTTAGGGATGATGGAGGAGGAAGAGGAGGAGGAGGAAGAGGGATCAGGCCAGGGTGGGCAGTTTAGCATCACGTGTGCTTGTGACGACAATGTCCCAAAGCTTGTGCAGCATGGCTGATGACTTTTGTGTATTTCCGGAGTATCTGGCAACCTTTCTGTTTTTTCTCAAAGCTGTCGGTGCTGGAATGATTGCCATAGGTCACGTCCACGTGGTTGACTTTGTACTTGGAGCAGAGCAGGCACGTGAGATTGGACAGGAGCCCCCCCGTGTTGTTGGTGGTATTTCTGAGTCGCCGTAGCAAGTCTTCTTTGGACTCGACGTCGCCGAGGCTTTCTTGGTCTTTGGTGATATTGTCCAAGGAGGCATTGAAAAAGACAAAGATCTGGTAGAGGTTGATCACCCTCTCCTTGTCACTGAGTGAGCTGACGAAAGGAGGAAACGCCTGGTCAGGCTCACAAAACTCATCCAACTTCTTCTCCTCGGTGAAAGGGTAACCTTGGCTTCTTACCTGCCCCAGAGAAACAAGAGAACCAAATTTAGGGGCATAAACATTCATTTCAGAAGACAAAGCAAAAGAGCCTTCCTTTTACGCCAGAAGTGGCCAATCAGGGCCACTTTAAGACCTGTGGACTTCAACTCCCAGAATTCCCCAGTCAGCATGATCTTAAAATGGCCAGGGTTGGACAACCCCTCCCCCAACATTTACATCCATGTTTGGAGAGTGAAACATGTTGAGAACGTTCAAAATCCACATGCTACTTTCACACACACACACCCCAAAAGAAAAGAAAAGCAGTGACTTCCAATTCCCTTTGGTGCAGTAGAATAAGGTAATAACCTACAAGAGAGTCATTGAGGCGACTTGGAGGTTTATCTGTGTCCTCAGGGTCACCTGAGTAGTGCAAATGGGGGTTGATTGTTCTCACTATCAGAAAGTTTCTCCTTATTTCCAGGTTAAATCTCTCCTTGTTCAGCTTCCATCCATTATTCCTTGTCTGGCTCTTCGGGTGCTTTGGAAAATAGCTTGACCCCCTCCTCCTCTCTGTGGCAGCCCCTTAAATATTGGAAGACTGCTCTCCTGTCTCCCGTGGTCCTTCTCTTCCCTAGACTAGCCAGGCCCAGTTCCTGCAACCGTTCATTGCATGTTTTAGTCTCCAGTCCCCTAATCCTCCTGGTTGCCCTTCTCTGCACTCTTTCTAGAGTCTCAACCTCCTTTTTATAGCGTGTTGACCAAAACTGGATGCAGTGCTCTAGGTGTGGCCGTACTAAGGATAACTACTTAGGATAGCAATGGAGATCACTTACATAACTCTCAAATAACACTGGAGCTGACATGTTCAGATGTGACACCAGGCACCGGACTTGATCAAAGACAGGATGCTTGCAAGGCCAAACGTCGTGACACATTGAATTGTTGCTGTTTTGGTGCACAGGCCTCCCAGATGAGAGTCTGCAGTGTGCGATCAGCAGCACGGAGATAACTCCTGTTTTGGAAAACAAAGCAGAGGTGGTGAATTTTAGTAAGAAAATAATAATAAAATAAAAAGCAGGTGAACCTCACAAGCTTTATCTCACTTCATTCTCATTTTCCCCACCTTGATTTTGCCACCGTTTTCGATTTATTTTGCCTTTGCATATTTTTTTTTACTTGTCACATACTTTGTAGAACTGTCAGTACATACAGTTCTAAAGTGAAACAAAAAAAATTTAGTCAGCAAAATTGCCTAGCTAAGGCAGGCAGAGAAGAAGCAGCTTTGAACCACAGTTTTCTCCATTGCGCAAAAAACCTGTATGTCGGACATTAATACAATTGAGTGAATCCAGAAGTATTTCATGAGAAGAGTACTTACACTCCTCTGCTCGCAACAGAATATCCTACACCACCAGGCTTGAGATTTTGGGCTTGGACAACCTTGAACTAAGCCGCCTACGGTTAGACTTAAGCGTAGTACACAAAATTATCCACTCTAATGTCCTACTAGTCAATGACTACTTCAGCTTCAACCGCAACAATACAAGAGCACACAACAGATACAAACTCACTGTAAACCGCTCCAAATTTGATTGCAGGAAGTACGACTTCAGCAACAGAAATGCACTACCTGACTCTGTTGTTACATCCTCAAACCTCACTCCTTTAACCTCAAACTATCCACTATTGATTTCACCCCTTTCCTAAGAGGTCTGTAAGGGGCGTGCATAAGTGCAGAATCATGCCTACCATTCCTGTCCTATTGTCCCCATTTATCCGTACCTATTTCCTGTATTCTTACTCATATTTATACTTATACCTATTATCTTGTAAGCGATTGACAAATCAAATCAATAAATAAACAATACGGAGCACGTATATGTCATCACAATCCTAAAATGGCTCAGTCATGTGACCAATTCAATTCCACCTTTCTTTTTTACCGTGGTCATTAAGTGAACACGATGGTTGTAAAGCAAACCCCGCAATAAACGCAACCCTACTGCCAAACACCCAATGTACATTGATGGAAGGGGCCCGACCGTTGGCATTTTGAACCTAGGTCTTAAGTCCCCCTTTTTTGGGAGATTTGGTCATAACTTTTGCTAAGTTGCTAAGTGCACAGTCATAAATCAGGGACTGTCTCTACCCAATTGCCGACTATCCCTCCCTTTCCACTTGCATTTATCAGCCACTCTGCAAGTACGCAACCAGGCTGAATTAAGATCGAAATGCATTGCTATTAATTAAGGATATGCTGGTTTTGATCCTATGACACCTTTCGTGGGCACATGTTTTGGCTTGGATCTGATTCAAGATACAAAACTACACAATTACAGAGTTGGAAGAGAGACCTTGAAGGTCTTCTAGTCCCCCCCCCCCCCCCCCCCCACTGAAGCCCCCTATGCCATTTCAGACAAATGTCTGTCCAATTTCTTCTTGAAAACCTCTGGTGATGGAGCAATCACAACTTCTGGAGGGAAGCCTGATCAATTGTTGATTAACTCATTAACAGTTAACCTGTCAACCCTGACATAACCAGTGAATTGTTCTCACTGTCAGGAAATGTCTCCTTAATTCTAGATTGGAATCTCCCTCTGACTAGCTTCCACCAATTAATTCTTGTCTTCCCTCTGGTGCTTTGGACAGCAAGTCAGTCTCCTATTCTTTGTACCAGCCCCTCAATTTGGCTCAAATATAGAACATAGAATAGAACATAGAATAAAAGAGTGATTGGAATCGAAACCTTTGATTCTAGAACAGAGTTGGGAGGGACCTTGGGGGTCTTCTAGTCCAGCCCCCTCCCCCAGAAGAGACAGGATAGCTATTTCCATTCCAGACAAATAGCTATCCTGTCTCTTCTTAAAAGCCTCCAGGGATGGAACACCCACAGCTTCTGGAGGCCGGCCATTCTACTCAGACCTGCGGTTCAAATTTGTGTCGAAACAGCTGAGACAGCTCTAAGCATCACATCCCTGATTTAATACATCCAATCGTTTTGAAAGACCACCAACAACAAATCAAAGAGGAGATTTAATCGGTTTGCCCTGGAAAGACCACCTTCTAATGGACACTTAACAAAACAGAGATGGAAGAAGTCCGGAAGAAGAGGAGGTGTCAAAAGAAAAAAAGCAAGATTTCTAGAGGACGAAAGAGAAGAGAAAAGAGGCCCCAGCACAGGAAATCTAGCAGAATCCTCAGCCTGGGCATGTCCACGTCAAAAACAGGCACACCTCTTTGGAGAAGAAGAATTGCACAAGACCCAAGGAATTCTGAACACTCAGAGTTGTGATCTAGAGGGGAAAAAAACACACACACAAAAGACTGGGAGAAAGGTTGCGTGGTGATGAAACCCAGGAGCTGGAAACTGCAGCCCAGCAAACGTTACATCACACAGCGCAATTTGGTTGTTTTGCTAAGGCTGCAAATACAGGGAGGGGAATGCAAAGCTGATAGGGCTGGCTGTTTAGTTTGGATCTTAAGGCAAAAATCGAGGGAGGAGCCTTCCTTGGACCCCCAGTCTGCTGAGAGGATGGCCATCGTTCACATTTTGACCATTGAACTCTGCAGTACAGCCCTTTGCTTGGTTCAGAAAGACCGGCTGGCATTGGCTAAAGCGCATAGACCTGTTCTGTAAAAATAGATACCAAAGTATGCTCCTTCAATTAAAGTTGACTTCTTTCATAGCATTTAAAACTCCCCTCCCTCTTTTTTTAATGACCCTGTAATCCCTTAATTCATGGTAGATTTGGGGTGACTGGATGAAACTGAGAATTTACTGGCCAGGTGCCCTTCCTGAATCCTACACGGAGTTCACAGCAGATATTTTCTCTTTGCGCCTTTTCTTTCACTTCTTTCATAGCATCGTAGCTAGCAAAATAGGGAAGCATATAAATCCAATTAATAAATAAAGATCCTAGAGTTGGAAGAGGTCATCAAGTCCAACCCCCTGCCCTGGATGATGATCCAGCTCTGTCCACAACTTCCAGGGAAAGGGAAGGAAGCCGTCACATATTCTACTAGTCGACAGCTCCTCGTAGCCAGCAGTTCTTCCTGATGTCTAATCTGGGTTTGCATCCTTGAGGTTTCATCCCGTTGATGCTTCCTAGAATCAAGAAGAAAAAGGCCTGCCCCAAAGCCACCCAACTGGCTTTCTCCTTAAAGGTAACACTTGAACTCACAACCCTTTCCGATTCTAACCTCTGATGCCTCTACACCAAACCGGCCCTCACCACATCCTTAGTTCTCCCTCCGTTTTCTTTGAAAAGCAACACTTGGTTTAGAAAAGCAGCTCTTTGAACAGTGAACTGGGTATTTTCCAGCCAATCAGGAATAGATGAAAATAAAATATAAAACAAAACCTTTGGATCAAATGCCCACGTTTAGCAAAACCAGGTTTGTCCTCATCCGGGGATAAGACAAATAATGTGAAAGTTTGAAATTGGTTAATCCCAGCAGTATACCTTGACAGTGGGTCAATGGCAATCTTAAAACAAAAGTCAAAGCTTGGGGGGAAAAATTGGATTCATTATCATTTTTTTTTTACCTGCCACGAGGCTTCTCATTGAAAGTTGCATCCTAGAATGACGTAAGAGGAACAGCAGCTCACAGGAGAGTTCATTCATAAAAGTGATGCCTAGAAAGGAACATCGTGACTGATTATATACCGAATGAGACATGGGAGGGAAGCTGAGATCATTAATTACTTGGGGGGGGGATTTTTCTCTACACACCCCCCTTGCATTTTTTTAAATACTCAAAAGCACACCACACTTCAAGCTTCATGCTTACATCACGGATGATTCAGCATAGGGGAAAAAAAGTCCCCCCCACACACAGAGAAACACACACACACACACAAATTTGAACCATCATTTCACAACACAAGTGGGAAAATAGGGGTGACAGATCGCCCCCTGGTGGCTTTGCATGGTTTTTTTATTCGTTAAACATGAAACTCAAGTCAACTGAACATTTAAAAATGTATCACAAATTTATTTATTTATTTATTTGATTTGCCAATTGTTTACAAGATAATAAGTATAAGTGTATACATAGTTGTGAATACATGAAATGGGTACATATAAGAAAAATAAAAGAAGAATAAGAGAAACAATAGGACAGGGACGGTAGGCACGTTGGTGCGCTTATGCACGCCCCCTACAGGCCTCTTAGGAAAGGGGTGAGGTCAATAGTAGACAGTCTAAGGTTAAAGTTTTTGGGGTTTGGGGAAGAAACTACAGAGTCGGGTAGAGTATTCCAGACATTGACCACTCTGTGGCTGAAGTCGTATTTCCTGCAATCGAGTTTGGTGCGGTTTACCTTGAGTTTGTCTCTATTGTGTGCTCTAGTGTTGTTATGGTTGAAGCTGAAGTATTCATTGACAGGTAGGACATTGCAATGTATGATTTTATATACCATGCTTAAGTCAGACTGAAGACGGCGTAATTCAAGGTTTTCTAGTTCTTGAATTTCAAGTCTGGTGGCATAAGGTATTCTACAACGAGTAGAGGAGTGGAGAACTCTTCTTGTGAAATATTTCTGGACTTTCTCAATTGTGCTAATATCAGACATGTAATGTGGGTTCCAGACTGATGAATGTCAGTGACTGGTGCTAATGGTTGATACAGGTTGCTTCCAGTGTCCTAGGTATCAACCAAGTATCTTCCTAAAATGTACGATGTTCTGAGTAGCACATTTTTTTTGCAGTTCCAGCTGGTGTTATTGCAGGAAGCTGCAATTTCTTGATGTGTTTTGCAAAATTCTTGGACATGGTACCAAGTGCCCCGATGACAATGGGTACCACTGTTACATGTTTCATTCATAACTGTGTAGTTTTGATGGCCAGGTCATGATATTTTGTGGTTATGATTATGATTATTAGAAAAATTGTATTCATTAAACATGAAACTCAGTGAAATAATAATATTAATATTATTATTAATAATAATAGTAATAATAGTAATAATAATAATAATAATAATAATAATAATAATAATAATAATAATAATA